TCTTTGATGGCAAAATGAGTGCAAATTAAACACAAAACACAACAAAAAAATATCAAGCCAATTTGTCTGACCTGCCAAGAAACGGCTCTGGTGTGAACATCTTTTTATGTTCAACCTAAAACAACATGAATTGTGCAACTTTGAATTATTAAAGAAACACGCAAACAAGTGCTGAGATTGGGTCAAATAAGGCACAGTGCAAATTAATTGTTTCTAAAACATATATGATATAGCATTGTTACATCCATGTACATTTCATGCAACTTATATTTGTCTCCTTTTGTGGTGGAAATCATGCCAAAAATTTGAAACATTCACACCTTCCAAAAATTAGCAACTTAAAAACAAAACAAAGTGCAGCATTTTATGTGACCTTTCAAGCAGTGCAGTACATGTAGGTATGAATACGTTACAGGTTAAAAAATTTTAATCGTAACTTAACTTTGACCTGTAACAATTATTATGCAGTGACATAAAGAATAATTATCAGTGATACCATAAACAATCATCTTTTTTGTCTATAGATAATATTAAGATTTAAAAATACTATCAAAAAGAAAAAAATATTATAAAATAAGAAAGTAACAAAACTAATAATACTACTAAGTTATTTCAAGGAAAAGGCTTGTAAAGTCATATATTGCTGTAAAACAACTGTTAAAATTACCGATGTTTTTTTTTAATGGCCACCCAAAGTAGCCACCTTGTATAGTCTGCTGTCTATTCCATGTCACGGTACAGTAACCAAGAAGACAAACTAATGTAAAAACAAACATGCAGTTGTGATGTTAAATGGAATTACTTCAGATCTTTTTACCTTGATCTTCATCATCATTCACTTCCCATTTCATTGTTCTCTTCACTGCTTTCTTCCATTTAGCATAATGGCGATCCCGCTCTATTTCACAGGAATAAAATGAACAAAATCAAAGAAAGGACTGATTTACCCAAATTTATAGAGCATTGTATGGAAATGCCATGTCGGTGCCCATTTGGATGGGCACCAACATGGCATCTGGCAACCAACAGTCACTTTTTTAACTTACATTAAAGCTCTCTAGGCCATCGTGAAAAAGCCGTGTCATGAAAAAGCTTAGCATACACTATACTCACAAAATGAAGAACCGTTTCAAAGTAAAAATTTGTATAACTATTAGTTTTTAGCTGCCCTAATACTTCATGAAAGTTAAAAAATCGGAAGGACAGTTGATTTCTTTAGTTTAAAATTTGATGAGGTGATGTGAACACCAACAGTTGGTTGTGGTTAATGTCACTACTCTGCTTGAGATATGCATGAAAAGGTAACACAACTAAATAGTGTACGCAGGCAAATAAGACAATAACTACAAGATGGTGTAATAAGGGGGGGACACAGCCCTGTGGCAGGTTCTAGCAACTTTAGGTTATGCGCACAGCAAAAACACAAGCCTCACTTATCACCCCACTACCGTGGGGTAGGACAAGAGTATTAACAAAGCCTTTCCTATCTCCCCAGCGCCGCACGGGCTGGATCGAACAAGATTAAGGCAAATGAATAAGATGGCAAGACAGAAGCAATGCCAAAAGCTTGGGGGAAGTCGCGACACAGACTTAACCGCACCACAAGGAGTGACCCCTAAAATTTATTGATACATAACACAACAAAACTCCTCCATAGGGAGGGAGGGTGGGTAACAAAATTACTGTAACTGTTTGCTTTCGTGCAAGCTAGACGAATAATGACCAGGTCTGAAATAGCAGATCTTTTATAGCTAGACAGTGTCTCAAATCTCGACCAATAAATACGGTTGTACCATAAGCTACCTAGTCTTATCATGATTTAAGTCTAGCCATAACTGCGCGATGCTAAGAAAAGTATGATGACAAACATACGACAAATTAGTCAGGTTCCAACCACGATAAGGCTTTAAAGATCGAAGGGAGCCTACATTGGGGCAGGCTACCTTAGCCAACCCCCCGCTGGGGCTTCATGTTCCATTAACCGCATTTACCATCTGATAAATGTCTTATAAACTTACCAGCTGGATCTACAGCAGGTTCAAACACATCAGTGTTGATTTGAGACTTATCCTCTGGATTTACTTTCCACACATCCACTCCTTTTGCCATACCAGCAGCCATTGCAGCACCAAGAGCAGTGGTTTCAGGCATTGTTGGACGAACTACCAACAACAATGGAAATACAGTTAATAACAGAGCAGTTTAACTGGCCGAAATGTTCATATGTTATCTGCCATACCCACCATGTTTACAATAAACTCAATTTCTACTGCTCTCCTGTGATTGCCTGCATGATTGTCAAGCTCTTTTATTTACATAAGAAATCCTAATTTGTGGTGGTTTTGTGCTGGTACAAATTGACTGGGCATAGATCGGCTTAGGTAAAAAATGATTGGTTTCTGAAATCAGTCCATACCTACAGAAATTCCAAGAATGTCAGCTTGTAACTGCATTAACAAGTTATTTATAGTCATTCCACCATCAACTTGAAGAGATGTCAATGGGATTCCACAATCCATGTTCATGGCATCTAAAAGCTACAAAGTTACAAGCCATCAATGTTAATATTGCTTGTATTTTCAAACCTCTTAGAAAATATGAATCAGGTGTAAAACGCAGTTTAAGACAATGCTTTATTCTATTCTGCAGTTTCAGTTTTTTAAACGCTCAGATTAGTAAACATTCAAAAAGTTCAGTACGTTGACAGTGTATAACATTCATCAGTGAAAATTATAACCCTAGTTTTGAGTACTTTGCTTAGATCTTGCAAATATTAATATCCTTCATTTAGCTGTGGTTAAAAACTCCTCATACCTCTCTTGTCTGAAAACAGGTGGCTTCAAGAGTTGCTCTTGCTATGTGTGCTTTGTTGGTAAACTGTGTTAGTCCTATGATAACTCTAAACAAAAAAGTATAAGAGCATTTTCTTTTTTATGTCTTTCTGAAGAGAAAGGTAACATCCACAAAGCAAGCCCTTAAAATTAACTTTGGTGGCAGCACTGCTATCCACCAAACTACCCTATTACCCCTCCGTATGAAAGCCTATAGGGTACTCCCACATAAAAATCAGGGGGTTGATGATGGTACCTTTCGGTGGTAAAATTTGTGGATTGGATCCACTCAGGGTGTTTCAATCTAAAATGAACACCATTAGAGTGTTAGGAGCCTCTTGAGGTACTGTCCTGAAAAACCAAGTGACCTATTTGAACTCAACTGATTTTGGTAGCTCTGAGGGGTGAAAATGAATTGGACACACACCCACAAGATGAGATTCTGGTACCTGAAAGGAATTAGTTTTCAAATCTTCTGACATACAAATGCAACCCTGTCATTTTTCTAAGGGAACACTTTCTCACAAGTCCAGCCCATACCTACTCCATGACATGAAGTTGCTATTACCCGGCCTCTTATACTAGTATAATCAAAGCTCAAATGAAAAAACAACTACAAGTGCACATAAATGTAAACCACAACTGTTTTTCTACTCTTCCAATGAAAAACAACAGTAAGTACAATGTAATCAAAAAGTCGGTCACAGCAACCATTCAGTGTCAACTGATATAATTTATACCCTCCACATAAAAATGAGAACAAGATAAACGAACCCTCTAGCATCTGTTTGCCAGTATGGTGCATAGAGCCCAGAAAATGCTGGTACAAAGTATACACCACCAGAATTGCTTACACTGGCTGCCAAAGTTTCTGCGAGTAAAAAAAAATGAAGATTTGTCACATAATTAAGTGTGGTAATTCCACAACAGTTTGGCCTGCATGTTGACAAAGCTATTCTTCCTGCAAAACATCAACCATACACTCAATGACACACAGACTTTTTGTGATGGAATTAAAATGCAGGTGTGACAGAAATTGAACAATCAGAAAGCTCTCTTGGTTCTATTTTCCTTCTGTTGCCTATGAAAGTAGCTGAGGGTTATCAGTGATTTTGTTACCTCTGCAACCTACATCCCTGACACATAAAACCCCAAAAGACGCAAAATAATAATTCATGGCATGCATCCGGGAGGACGCAAAGAACAATTGATCAATTTGAAGATTTTAGGTAGAATATCCTGTTTGTGTGATTTCTGTTGCTTTTGTTTAAAGATGTATATTTATTTTAGTCTTTTTTGTGCTTTAAATATGTAGAAGGACTATATCTCAATTTCAGTAAACTGTAATAAAGAGTTTTGGCGTCTGTCTCCAGATTAACTGTCTGGTTACATACACTGTAAAGGCCCAAGTATTTTCAATAACTATTTAGGAATCCTTGTTTTTTTGAACTGGGACTCATTGGTTATGGACAGGGACTCATGATTTTTCACACGATGAGTCCAAGGACTCACCATAACTATTTCTAACAAAATCACTAGGTCATGCTCATAATAGCCTGGGGAATTCCTGGCCCTGGCCCCAAGTGACAGCCCTGAATCCTAGACAAACTACCATATAAATGGAATGTATGAGTTTGCATCATGCTTCAAAACCCTCAGCCAGAGTAGAAAGCCACTAGCAGAGCTATTAAAAAAATAAATACCTATCTCTGAAGCCTTGTTGAAGAGATTAAGATTGTCTCTCAGCCATTTCACAGCTGCTCCAGTAATAGCAACAGAGCCCTGTAAAATAAAGGAAATCATAAGTGAAAATTGACTCAGTCCCAAAAGTGCAAGTCATACTTTACACATGCTGTAATTAATTGATCAAGCTTACCTCTAAGGCATACACCACTGGCTGGTCAGGTCCTAGTTTGTAAGCTACTGTTGTTAGCAGACCATTCTGTGAAACCACTGCCTTCAGTAATACAAAAGATTAGTCAGCACCTAATAAGATCAATTCACTGAGGATACATTTCTGTTTCACATAAAACCTGGTTTATTATAGAGCCAAGTATTTTAATGGAAATAAGAATATGACTCTTTCAAGACAACAGACAAGTAAATTTTCATAAATCTTTTACAAATCTTCCAAAAAAATATCAGTGTATGAGTAAATCCCTGTAATACCTCTCTTCCGGTGTTGTACAACAGAAAACATCCAGTGCCATACCTACAGAGTGAAGCAATCATTAGTCTTAAACAACATTTTACAACACAAAGTTTAAGAGTGATCAAACACTGACCTCATGTAAGTGTTGTACATGTAGGTCAACTAAAATTCAGGTTAAAATGGTTTCAACATAGGTTCATTCTCAATTTTTTTTACCCTGATATTTATATTGTTTATGATAAAAAAAAAATAGGGAAGAGGCAAAAGAAATTGAGAGTCAACCTAGGTTGAAACTATTTTAACCTGGGGTCAATTTAATGACACTTTTGCAAGTGTAATTTATAAGACGAATAGTGTTTTCAGACTCTAAAACAATGGCTACACTCGTAAATTACACAAGTAAGAGTTTATTAAATTGACTCCTGAACTTCATTTTCACCTAGTAAAATATAAACAACCATTTACTGTACATACGTGTTCTTAGCATCTCCCTGGTTAAAGCACAGCTGTCCAACTAAAGCTGCTTGCTGGTCTCCAAGACACTGCAATAAGGATTACAAACTTGTTACAATGCACCAACCTCAATGCCAAACACCTCAATGCACTAACCTTACATCATTTAAATTATTAATTTTAGTCATTCTCTTTGTCTTTCACCCTTTATATTCTTGATTGCCTATCTTAACCAAAGACATTTCTAAAGAGTTTTTATGCAAGAAAGAGAATGGTAACATTTAGCCAGACCAGATCACCCATAGGAGATCTACACAGTGATTAATAGTTTCTGTATGATTCTCATGTTGCACCTTACTCTGGCTCACTGTCCTTTAGGACAGTGCTCGACTTTCAGAAAAAAATCTTGGGGCCAACAGGTCCCCATGTTTTCATTTTTGGTCGCCAGAACAAGTATTCTGGTCGCCAAAAATTATATATTATAAGGTATTCAAGCTTAAGGTTCAGGAAATGGAATACACATTAAGAAAAACAAACTTAAGGAATCTTAAAAAAACTTATTTGGGATATTAAAGAACAAAATCTGCAAAATTTGTTTTGCGTCCCATGTATTTGCACGTTCAGAAATGAACATCGGTGAAACTTCATCTATTTCGCGGTTGCCTAACACGTGATCGAAAGTCTCCAGAAAGAGGAAACGTCGCTAATGTTTTCGGGCAATGAAGTTGATTTCGCGAGAAGTCTGTTAGACAAACAGCATGAGTTCAACGGTACTTCATTAGAAGTCAATAAAATACTTCAGAGCTTTTATTTGGGTCGCCACGCTCAACAGAAATTTGCGTAAAGTTGTTTACAAGAATTGCGAAGTTCGAGTAAGCGCTGTTCGTTCTCGATTAGCTTCGATTAGCTTTAGCTTTTATCAGACTAATCTGCTATCGAGTCCGCAATCGAGATACATGTTGGGCAAAAAGAAATTGTTTTAAATATCGATGCGCTAAAAGTCATTCCCGGAGAAACACGGGACGATCTGTTGAGAATTGCGATCGATTTGCCCGAAAGTCGATAAGTCTTTCGTCGAATTCATTCATTTCACAATCCTCTTTCAAGTAAACGTAGATTAGAGTGTTGAAAGAAATCGTTAAAGCGTTTAGACAAATCGTTAAAATGTTTAGACAAACCGTTAGAGCGTTTGGGCAAAACGTTAGAGCGTTAGCAAAACCGTTAGCTATCCGTTAGTTTTGTAAAGGATAACAGATTATCATTAGTATACGTTTACCCAAAGAAGAAAGTCACCTATCTTGGTGGCCAGGTTGGCGACTAGCGGTGAAAATTTAGTCGCCACTGAGTAAAACCTGGTCGCATTGGTGACCCCACAGGTCGCAACGTCGAGCCCTGTAGGATATATCCACACATTTTTGTTGGCATAAATACATTGTATTGTTCACAAAAAGACAAAACAATAGAATAAATGACTTTATTTCTATTTATTTTATAGACACGAGTGTTTTACTGGAAAATATACCCCTCGTAAAATTCATAAAAACTACATCCGGGACCTGAGTGGTTTATTTTCCATAATCTCACACGTGAGTTTATCGATGATGTAATTTCAGTAATTTCCCTCCATTATTTTATCGATGTCATTTTGTCTATATAATAAAAAGAACATTACACGCCGGCTTGAAGATATGAATTTTATTTTCTCGTGGCAAGAACAATATTTTTTTACTCACTCGCTGCGCTCGTTCGTAAAATATTGTTTTGCCACTCGAAAATAAAATTCATATCTTCACGCCACCGTGTAATATCCTCTATATACATTTAATGTCATACCCCTGATATTGGCACTCCACTGAGGGGTCCTTCCACCTACAAACCAACAAAAAGAAAATCAAATGTAATTTCACGCAGTTACATAAAAAATATAGATTTTCCAAGAAATGTCTACTATTTTCTTGTCCTATTATCCCAACATTAGCCTGTAAATGCATGGAAATAAGTCTTCATTAGCAGGCTATCCAAATACACTTTGTAAGTTAGATGTTTAAAGTTGTGACCCATCTTTTTTTCCAAATTCATGTTTAATTTTGAACTCTCTTGTTTTGTGTGTTCTAATTATTGATTTCATTAGAACACACAAAACAACAAGTAAAAACCGACACTCACCAGTTTGCCATAGATTTCTGAGGAACTTCTAACAGCTGGTAAAACTGACATAGGAATATCAAAAAACCTGAAATTAATTGAAAAGAACGTCTCAGAAAAATCATTTTTTATTTTTATTTTTGCTGAGACAGAATATTGGAAATTTCTGAACGGTGTAGATTACCAAGTTGTACTAACAACTAGTTTTTCTTAAAATCCTGGAACAAATGTTACATCCTTCTTATTGGGTGCAGCATTTAATCAAGGGAGGAGTTTAGCTGTAATTTTGCTTTGATCTACGGCATTTATTTTAGGGCCATTTTCATCCAGTAACTGCTGCAATAATATTATCTTACTTGCACAAGTATGGATCCCAGGCTTGAGTTTCCAGGTTGAGGAACATTGTTCTTGATGCATTGGTGATGTCTGTGATATGTAAGCCCCCATTTGTTCCGCCAGTCAAATTCTTTAAAACAGAAGACAAAATTTCACATAACTAAAACAAGAAAAGCAAACTCAACTGAAAATTCCTCCTAAAATTATCATGTAACTTCAGTAAACATCTACAGATGTATACGTTGTGGTTCAATTTTATGCGTGGTTTAAATTTTATTTTCTTTTGTATTGGGGTATGATAATGAATGATAATGAGTTTGAAACAAAAGAAAATAAAATTTAAACCACAAAGAATTTTGAACCACAACATATACATTGTGGGTGAATACTAAAGCGGAATTTTCAGATGGATGCTGGAAGGGCTAAGAAGAAGGGTACGCGAAAAACTTTAGTCCTGAGTATTGAAAATTCTGTGAAATAGCATGTAAAATGAGTTTACCCAAATCAACCATGAGTCCACGGTTCCAAACAAACACCTTTCCTCATCAATAGCCTTTCTTACTGCTTCACAGTGATCAATGAGCCACCTCAACTTTAGTGCACTGAAGTAAGTATTGATTGGAAGACCGCACAATTTCTACAAATGATAAAGGTTGCAAGGAGATAACAACAAAATAATAAAATAGTCTACCCAACATTTTACTTGCTTTTCTTTGTCACTACTATAAACAGGACAGTAACACTCTAATGATATACACTGTACCCTAATGCCTATTTACTGGATTATTTGTCAACTCATTAGGTATGTAGGCATGAGTTCATTCCTGACCAGACCCACACTCAGGGTCTTAAAATATCTGAGAAGAAAAGGGTGCAGCCTAATGTTCCTCATCTTCAGATGGTTAGACCTTCTATTCTTCTCTGAGAGGAAGAGAAAATCATAGCCCTTACAAAATTTTTTCATGTAGGATGTAAGTGGGCCACTGAGGCCATAAAAATCCCTGGCAGTCGGACTGAGGAAAGGGTGGGGTTAGGGAGGGGGGGCTTTAGCCTGCTCCCCCTCCCCGCCTCAATTTTTTAAATGGTCAAAAAATTGTGTTTCCTGGTTTATTCCAGATCATCAGGTTCAAAACTTACAAAAATAACTTAACTTCCAAATTTTCTATTTTACCACAATGGAGATGGTTTACTCCATTCTAAATATTTTAAGACTGAAACAATAATTCAAGGAGTACCAGCTTTCTGACTTTTACAAACTACAGTAGCAACATAATCATTAAAAATTTGATCCATTACTATTAGTTATGGGTGCATCAATTTCAAATTATCCTAGAGATTATGTTGAAAGTACAAAAGAAGCATGGCGCAACCTATTGGGACCCTTCTACTGTACACTTACTCGAACATGCTCTCTTGTCTTTTCAGTTGTTTTGGCCTCAAAGTCATCAACAGTGGATTTCGTCCTTGTGTCAAGCCAAACTGCAAACAAAGTATGCCCCAGTTCACTCATATAAACCCATTAAATGTACAATAAATTGCAAATGCAACACCCTTCCAAAACGGTGTTGTATATGGGGGAAATAAAGCTGGATTAAATTGCTTGTTACAGTTTCACGCAAAAGCAGACACATTTTATTACTTATAGCATTGTGCAGTGGTTCTCCAGTAAGCTTGTCCCAAACCACAGTAGTCTCCCTCTGATTTGTGATTCCAACAGCTGAAAAACAAAGGTTAAATTGAGGTGTCAATATGGTAATTCCAGGGCTTGAAAGAATTCCCGTCTGGCAGCTCAGGACTTTAAGATTTTTTTTCTGCGCAACTACATATAACTCTTAAAACTCACTTGCTCAATGGGGAAGGATCCAGTCAAGCCATATTCTACCTACTAAATCATTAACTAAGACACCTGGCAGGCAAAATATAGAGCTGCTTGCTCAAGAGACTAGCTTAAATTCTTTTTTCTTTTTTTTTTTTTTTTCACAGCTGTGCGTTCACAATCCAATTTTATAGAACCTGGTCTCTCTATAAAATCCAGAGTCATCTGACAATTATTTGGAAAAGAATAGAGTACTAATGAATTAGAAAAAAACATCTTGTAGCTTCCAAAACTCGGCTAGGTAAGATATAGCCATACTAATACATAAAAAAATATTTATCAAACATACCTTTAATATCAGCAGGATTAATTTTTAAATCTTTGAAGCTGTGAACTGTTTGTTCCATGCAATAGTATACAGATGAGAGAATTTCCTTTGGATCTTGCTCTACCCATCTACAAAGCATAATCATAACATCACCATTTTTGGCATATTACAGCTAAACTGTATTTGTGTTACCAGTTTGGCACATGTACAATATTGCACTTAATTTAAAAGACAAGTGTTAGACCGTCAAGCAAATAATCTCTCCTTTTAGGAAGAACTGATCTCTGACCAGGTCAGCAGTTTAGTTGGAAAAGGAAGAGAAACTGTTGGACATACATTTGAAGTTGACTATTAATCTCTTTAATTGCTATACAAATCATCAGCTATAAAATGACAGTCTTAAATATTCGGTCTGTCTGGTCATCATGTCCTACAGCAGATAGGATTTTGTCGCACATGGGCAAATTTTGATCAAACATTGTCTTATGACAAACTGCTCTTAAGACCTTGTTTTCATAATAATAATAATTATCACACTGCTTACCCTTCTTTGGGATAGGAGCTTTTCACTTCAATTTGGTGAAATGCAAGAAGCTCAGCAGTCTTACTAGCAAAAAGCTGGAAAACAAGACACATGCAACTTACACCAAGATGA